CACGCTCACGAGCTGCAATAGCAGAAGATGTCCTTTGCCAGCCAGTGGGAGCTGCAACAACTCCAGGAGCAACAACAGCTGGAAGCAGCAGTCCAAGAGGCTGCCATGGAAGCCAACAAAGATCTGGACCCAAACATAGATCCATTGAGGGCTCAGTCGGTAGAGACGTCTACCGAGTCCAGTTTCGCTTTCGAGATCCTAAGCTCCAGCACTGAAACCTGGTCAGCCGCTGACAGCAGCACACCCGTCACCTCCGAGATTACGACTACGCCATCCACTACAGTGACGCACACTGGAGAGCCGCCACCCGACCACAGGACATCGAGTTCGTTCGCCGTAAAACCAACCACTTTACCATCCGTAGACGAAGACAAGAGGAAGAACGCCACCGAGGTTCTGCTACTGCCGTGTAGCGAGGAATACAAGGCCAACTTTTTCCTGAACGAGGGACGCTGCTTTCACCATCCGATGGTCAACAGCACAGTCCTGCACTCGTGCCTCTGCAAAGACGACTTCGTAGGAGAAAGAATTTCAGAAATTCTTTCAGAATTTGGAAATGGCTTGTGCATCAATAAGAGCATAAGCTAGCATTCCTGTAATCATCATAAAGCTTAGAGGCCCAGACGACCGAGGGGCGCTCGAGAAACGATTTGTTAGTACATATTAAGCTATTTGAAATTTGTTAAGCTAAGCTGGGTCATGCTGTGCATATGTCGAACTACAATGGCTAAGGAACAGAGGACTAAAGTTTCGAGTCCTTCTATTAGGAATGTTAAATTTTAAACGTGTTAGTAAATGCTGGCTATCTACATCCCCGTCAAAAAGGTTATGCAGAAAAACTACACCGAGCATTGTCCTACGATTTGTTAAGCTAGATAAGTTTATAAGTTAAAGTCTGCTACTGTAGGATGGGAGCTGGAGTTGTTCGATATGCCTAAAGAGAAAGTTCTCCAGCCGGCTACGAATCCGATCTGTACTTCGTTTTGGAAATAATTTTAGTTTCACTTGTATTGGGATTCATAATTTTTTGTTTTTGTTGAATTCTATGTGGCGCGCAACGTAAACGTTGGCGCTTTAGTTTATTAAATACATTTAGTTTTCTTAGTAGGATTTTCTACTTAGTTGCACAAGACGAACGATTACTATTTTCTTTTCTCTACTGATTTATTTTTGTTTGTTTCGCTTTGGAAGCTTTCGTTGGAGCTTTTGTAGTTCTTTTGTTGTAGCACTTTGACATGTTTAATTAAACAATATTAATTATTAAGAACGTACTTAGAACATAATCTTAGCGCTTACTCCACTTAACCCAGACAAGTAGTTATTTTCGTAACACTCGTTTACATCTTGTACAATGTATAAACTTTTGTTTATAGAGACCATTAAAGAGAGTTTTCAACTCATTTTGAGCTACTCTCACATTGTTGGTGTTGTTGTATTATTACTTCTATAACCTCCACGACATCTATTTGAACTATTTTTTATTTTGGTCTGGTTGTTATAATTTCGATTATTACCGTTGTTTCGCTAAAACCGGTGTTATGGTAATTACCACGACTACTTCCTCTTCTACTTCCAGATGGGAAAGCCGACGGCGGAACTGGAGTTCTAATCAAAGAACCCATTTAACACCATTTTCACAAAAGGTTTGCAACAAACTTGTTGCAGGCCACATCGATATAAATTCTGTCAAACAACGGAATCCTTTTAATAGCTGCCGTTAACTGCCCTCCTTGTTTTTCAATCTCGGAAGGACAATTTATAGACTTCTACAATATACATACTTAGGGATCGTTTTATAGCCGCAGGAGACTACAACGCCAAACATACGCTCTGGGGATCACGTTTAGTGGCTCCCAAAGGAAAGCAATTGTACCATGCAATCTAAACGTGAGAAATAAATTGGACTGTGTTTCCCCTGGAAGTCCCACATACTGGCCAACTGACTCACCCAAGCTCCTACACCTTATTAATTTTGCGGTGACAAAAAACATACTTCGCAATCTAATAAGTGCGAAAGCAAGCAGTCTCGAAATTGCCAACTGCATCTTCATTCCAGCCGAATGAAATCGAAAAAATCATAAGAGGGTTAAAACCAAAAAAAGCTCCTGGTCGTGACCTACTGACACCAAAGAAGCTGATCGAACTTCCAAAATGCGATATAGAGGTCGCCAGCAAACTATTTAATGGGATAATTAATCTTGTCTTTTTCCCAAAAAAGTGGAAGAAATCATTATAATGATATCAAAACCTGGGAAAAAACACAAAATTCCGACCAATTATCCTTGATTGTCTTAATTGTTTGACAAATGCTTGTTAACTCGCATAACACCACATAGCTTGCAATATTATCCCGGCACATTAATTTGGCTTCCGAAGAAGCCACGGAACCATCGAGAGTGAACAGAACAAACATCCGAAATACGCTGAGCCTTCGAACAGCGAGAATACTGTAGCGCTATTTTTCTCGACGTATCTCAAGCTTTCGACCGAGTTTGGCTTATTGGACTCATGCACAAAATTAAAACGTATTTGCCAACATACACCCACAAGATACTGGAATCATACCTCTACAATAGGGTATTCTCAGTGAGATGCAACACAGCCCCTTCGGGAGACTACATCATCGAAGCTGGAGTTCCACAAAGAAGCGCACTCGGCCCTTGTCTATATGTTTTGTATACAGCGGATATTCCTACGAACGCAAAACTAACAACGTCAACGTTCGCCGAAGATGGCTAATCATCTTTTAGTAGTGGAAAGGTGGCTGTCCGATTGGCGCATTAAAATAAACGAACAAAAGTGTCTTAATAGACAAACATGCCCTCCACTTTCACTAAACGGTATCCAGATCCCTCAAGCTAACGAAGTAACGTACCTTGGCGTCCACCTTGATAGACGACTTACCTGGCGTAAGCACATCCAATGCAAGAAAATGCCCCTAAAACTGAAAGCCAGCAGCCTCCACTGGATCATAAACTCACGATCGCCACTGTGCCTGGACTACAAGTTACTACTCTACAATTCAGTCCTAAAGCCAATCTGGACGTCCCCAGCTGTGAAGGAACGCGAGCAGCAGCAACATAGACAACATACAGCGCGCACAATCAAAAATCTTGAGAACTGTCACTGTGGCACCTTGGTATGTTCGCAACGAAAACATCTACCGGGACGTGGGCATCCTCTCACTGAAAGACGAAATCCCGATGCAAAAAGAGTCATACAAAGAAAAACTGTCTTCGCACCCAAATTTTTTCGCTCGGGGATTGACACAGCAATCGATTTTTCGGACTGTCTAACTCTGTATCAGTCAATAAGACTGTTAGTTAAGTTGAAAATATAAGATTTGATACACCTCTTGTTAGTCTCGCAAAGAGAAGGCTCAAGAAATAAAAGCAACGTTTAAAAAAAATATATATATGAAGCTTCAAGTAGTTTTCACTAGTCTCTCAGTTTTAAATCTATCAACTTGAAACTTTGCACACAGCCTTCTTTCTTTTGCACGCAGTATATTAATTAATAACTTAACCAGCATTTTTTAATTCGGTCTTTTAAATTTAGGTAATAATAAAAAAATTAACATATTAAAAAAATGGGCGTGGTTCCGGCCTTTTTTAATCGTTTTTTTTTTTTAGTAAAAATTAAAAAAAATGTTTTCTTTTTATGACAATAACCGTAGTTGTCGCGGAACGGATAAGGTAGTCTGTAAAGTATCGATAGTCAGTCAGCTTGAATTACGAGCCACTAGTATTGTATTCGCGGCTTACAATTTGTTTATTTCTGGCCACACTGATTGTGGTCTAATATTACGTAAAGTTTGGCGGCACAGATACTCCGATCAGCGATCCCAGATAAAGAGGGAGGAGATACCTCGGTAGGTCAAATATATTACTAAGTTGAGGTTAATTCTAAGTTACATTGCCCCAACAGAATAAAACATCCATGCGCTAGAAGATCTAGTATTTCTTGTTTCGGTGATGTGCCAAATGTTAGAGACAACTCCCGGAATTTAGATGGGTGTCATTTCTTTTATTCGCATGGTTTAAATTGGAACTCTAATGGCATTTGGAAGCGCACGTAAGCACCAGAGTTACTGTACAACCGTAAGCTACTCGCCACCATGCTGTGTTAAAGCCACGGTGCATCCAGACACGGGAGCTACAACACAGTAGTATCTTCTATCTTACAGAGTTTAAAGGTCAGCCTAAGGAAAGGCCAATTTTCAAGTGTGCGTTCTTGAAGAGAAATGGAGATAGGAGAAAGAAGATTCATAAATGAGTTCATATAAAATAAACATATGTAATCCCTAATTTAGTGAATCAAAATCATTTAAATTCTTTCAATCCTCTGATTGGTATATCATTTATTCGGACCAAACGAACACAAGCAATTTTTTACACGAACGTTATTTTCGAACGTGTATTTCGAACGTTATTTTCCAGCTCCGCCTAAATTATCAATTATCTTAACAGTTCCCTTAAAAAAAATATTTTTTGTTGTGCTTTTATTGACTTTATTTTACTTATAGGGCAACAAATAACAATTTTTAAGTAATCAAAATGCTATGCTTATTGAAAACGCATTAAGAACATATGTATATTAAAATAAATTACCGTTTAACTTATTTTATGGTTTTTTTTTCTTATTGATTATTCAATCATAAATACAGACTAATAAAAATAAATTATATTGATGAGGTCTAAAGTGACTCTTGTACACCATGTACTGGATTTGTACATGAACGCCTTCGCTTGAAAATTATAGATATAGATATAAATATAAATATAGATATAGATATAGGTATAGATATAGATATAGATATAGATATAGATATAGATATAGATATAGATATAGATATAGATATAGATATAGATATAGATATAGATATAGATATAGATATAGATATAGATATAGATATAGATATAGATATAGATATAGATATAGATATAGATATAGATATAGATATAGATATAGATATAGATATAGATATAGATAGATCTTTAGCACTCACTTATAAAGAATTAAATTCTATCTCATTTGCATAAGCCTCCCTTTGCATTTTCTCACGTAAAAGCGTCACATCTTCATCTATCCGGACTATAGTTCGGATTTTCTGAAAACGAAATGGTTCATTTTTGGGTATTTTTAATATATTCAATGCCATTTTGCATACGTGACTTAAGTCTCCTGGAGTCCTTTTCCATAACCAGAACATATAAGCTGGTATATAGAGCATAGATGACAATGCTGTAAACCAACCAAAAGCGTGTGCCCACCAGGGATAGCTGTAGTCGAGATATTTTATGGAAGTCCATTGTATTATGTTAAAAAAGAACACACCCTATTCAAAGAATATTTTGTTTACCAAATTCTAGTTTCAGTGCTATGAATAATATTTTTTTTACTTACCATACATATAGCTGGTGTAGTAACGCACCAACAGAATTTCCACCAAACTGTAGGATAATATCCAATCATATCCTTTATACCATCGTAAAAGCGATCAACTCCATAGCACCAAGATATTGAAACACACTCAAAAAATATAAGCCACAGCAGGCAAAACCCGCTTACGGCATATGAATCCAATATTTGAAATATATACATTCCACCCTAATATAAAATAGTCTCTTTAACATACACAATTAACGATGATAGAGTATTTAACTTACTTGCGAAATACAGGTTAACCCTACTAAATAGCTTATGGTGCATACAAGAGCAATGAAAATCTCCTTGCGTTTCCGTAACAGATGGGGCCACTCATCAATTATAGCTGTGATGAAACCCTCCATCGTGCAGAACTGTGAATCCAAACCTATAAGCAATAACATAAAAAAAAAAAGACAAGACCACATGGGAGACCCTGGAAGTTGCAATACAGCGGATGGATAAACAAGGAAAGCTAGTCCGGGTCCTACGAAAAACTAAAATTTTAATAGGCTGTTTGAATATATTGTTTATTTAACTCAACCTGAAGCGGCCACCTCAGCCACTGGTCGCTGCTGTTCGTGTGCCATGAATCCAATAACAGAAAATATTACGAAACCGGCAAACATGCTTGTACTCGAGTTGACTGTGCATACTATAAGTGCATCTCTGTAAATATTTTTGTTTTTTAATAACCAAAAATATACTGTTTTTATTAAAATACAATAATTTACTTGTAAACATTGTTTGTAAACTTATTATAACTTCCCAAGGCTACTAAAGTTCCCAGTCCTAGTCCATATGAGAAAAAAATCTGAGTCACCGCATCAATCCAAACCTAAGGTATATTGTGGCGTATAAAGCATTAGTTATTTTTCAATGGTTATACAATTTAATCTTACCTCGGAGTGAGTCAGCTTGGAAAAGTTGGGTATAATATAGAATTTAATGCCTTCTAAAGCACCAGGCAATGTGATACCACGGATTAACAGAACTGTAAGTAGTACATATGGAAAAAGAGCCGTAAAATATACAACTTTTCCCGTCCATTTGACTCCTTTCCAAATACAAAAGTAGCAAATAATCCAAACGAGCAATAAAGTTCCAGCCAATTCCCAACGAATATTTCCGATCTCATCAATTCCTTGAGATATTTGAAGTGCCCGGCGCCTTAAACCAGAAATTAAGCAGTTAGTAATTTATAGTCATTATAGTAATAGTAACTTAAAGTAATTTTTTATAAATTTTTATGAAGCCACATACTCCCAAAATTCTTTAACTGGATCGGTAAGCTCTGCTGATGTGAGATTTGTTGAAGCTACAGTACACATTTTCGTGGAAGTTCCATTAATGATTTTATTCCAGCATGGTAAGTTTTTTCTTTCGTACTGACTAACACAGTTTACTGTGTTCCACCAATTATTACACGTCCTCCATGGTACATCTGGAAACAAGTATACGATATTAGCCCTTTCTAAACCAAATTATTGTTTCAAATGTAGCAGTTCGATATTAAGGGGACCCCCCCATTCTCGATTTTAAATTTTGACGATTTTCAATGGGCTGGCAAATGAACATAAATTATTTTTTAGGGTTGTAACTGTGCTTACATATATTAAGACACAAAAAGGAAGAAAATCATTTCACAGAATTTTTTGTTGTTGTTGTTTTTTGTGATCAAAGAAAAGCCCTTCTTTTCGGCGGCGCATGTGATTTCCGCTCACTGGAACATCTGAATCCCAAAATTCCAACGGGATTAGAAAAAGTACATGTTTGGCTCTCGTATGAACTAGGACTATTAACTTCGCTCAAAAATTAACAAAATGGCGGACCTTTGAAATTTTTTTTTGAAAATTTCCATTTTTTTTCAGCCACAAATCGAATTGAAAAGTAAAGAAGATCTTCACCGATTTGATTTATCCTAGTTCATACGAGAGCTATGTATAGAATAACGTGTTAAAATTTGGAACCGATTGGATTAATAGTTATTGAGTAACCTCATGCGCCAGTCGTAAAAACACTGTTTCGAGAAAAACGCGTTTAAAGTTTTGAGACGGCTCTCGCCGTCGCCTGAGGCTTCCACCATAAATCGGCTATATCTTCAAGAGTTTTTGAAATTTTTACTTGAAATTTTCAGGGAACATTCTTGAATAGTTACAAGTTCGAATTAAATTAAAAAAAAAAATCGATTTTTTAAAATCGAGAATGGGGGGGGTCCCCTTAAAGGGTTATATACCTTTTTTATTTTCAAAAAATCGAAAATTTTTTTATTGCTTTATCTTGAAGAAAAATTCCTTAAGAACATTTTCCCAAATTTTCATAGAGATTGGAGCAGTAGAAAAAAAGTTACAGCGCTCCTAACCGCGCTCATCATTGCGGCTTTGAACTGAACTTGAAACTTTAAACGCGAATATCTCGAAATGGTGTTTCTTGAAAAATGACTTTGCGGTGACATGAATTGGCGGAAAACTACTGAACCGATATACTTCAAATTTTTTTTTAAATGTTCATAATGAAATTCTTATTTTCTTGAACGATCGACTTTTCAGGCACAAACCTTTTTGTTCGCCGAAATGAATTTTTTAGTGAAATTTCTAGAGACCAAAAAGTTAATTTTTAGCATAAAACGTTCCTGTATGAATAAAATAAATAAAAATTTTAAAATCGATCGTTCAAGCACAAGGAAATACACTAAACTAATGAGATTTTTTTACTTTTATGGTTTAAGTTGACCTGTTTGACCTGGGGAACTGTCACCGCAAGGCTTTAAAAAAAAAAAAGCCTCTAAGGGAAACAGCCACCCCTTAAAAACTATTTCATATTTTTCCACCAAATTTTGCACAAACATTGTTAATAAAGTGTACTATCAAAAAATTAAAACATCCCTGTAATTAAATCATTGCTACATACCTATAAAAAAATCCGAACTTTGCTCTTTTTCTTCGACAAAGAAGGCATATAACCCCTTAAGATTTATCGTACCGAATTTAATTCCAAGGATATTTGTTTGTCGCATAAATTGGTTATATGTGTAAATTTGTGTTAACCTTATCAAAACAATTTTTTTCTTAACGTGATATTTATCTGATAAGCAAATGACTACACTCTGATTACACTCGCTTTTCAAAGAGTTAAAAATATACACATGAAATGTAAACACATATGTATTTACTTCAGTGGTCGGCACCCCAATACATTGATATGATTTTAACGCATTAGTGTTAGTAAAGAATAGCAGAAAGTAGGCTGTGAGCATGACGTTTCACACATTTATACTGTGTGTGTGTGGCAGAGCTCGGGCAGAGAAATTTCCTATGCCCTCGGGATAGGGCCGTGCCGACCACTGATTTACTTAAGGGGTTATATACAGTTGTACCGCGCAAAAATATGAAAAAAATCGATATTTTTTTTGACACCATAGAAAATATTTATGAAAAATGTTTTATTGACGTTGTTTAGTACATGTTTCTGGGTACTTAATTAAATTTTTTCATAAAAAAATATTACATAACAAAAATGTTATAGCCGAATTCCCGGATCGTCTTTTTTCGATGGTGTCTTGCGGTGGACATGATTTCTCGAAAACGGTTCATGCGAAATCAAAAATTCAAAAAAGTTTAGTTAGTATATTGTATTGTCTAGTCCGTAAACGAAGGATTTTTAAAAATTTTGATTAAAAAAAAAATGGCGACGTTTTTAACAAAAAATGTACTTTTTCAAGGTAAAAGATTTTCGTTTTTTGTGCTTTAAAAAAGGAGTATTCAAAAAAATCCCTCGTTCACGGACTAGCTAATGTCATAATAAATAAGTGGTCAAAATTTGATGTTGATCGGATTAGTTGTTTGTTAGTAATCGTGTCCACCGCAAAGGTAATTTCCCAAAAAAACACAACTGTATATAACCCCTGTATATATTATTTTTTATAACAAAATAAAAATTTAATAACACAGCCACACAAAAAAAAATATTTTTTCGGGTCTGGAGGTCAGACCATGTTTACTATATGTTTTCGGGGTCGCTGAATCTAAATCCGAGGTCCAAAAAACCCTAGGTCCGACCTTTTATCTTCAAAAACACGAAAGTTGGGTAATTTCCGATCGTTCAGTTATATGGCAGCTATTGGATATAGTCGGCCGACCCCTATGAAATTTGGCATGTCGTATTATTTTGCCAAATAAAGCGCTCGTGTAAAATTTGAAACTCTCTAACTCTTAAAACCGTCAGCCAAAAACCGTGTTGGGCCGTCAGCCAACGGGTACAACAGGGGGACCTACGCGCAAGCAATTGCGTGCCGTAACTGTGTACACCGCTGGTAGTGCGACTATACTCTCCACGTGAGGGCGGCTCTACCGAGGATGCTGGCTAATGGTAGTCGGGCGGGGAGAAAAACACTCCCTTCCTTAAATCACCCCAATCCAAGGTGGAACAGCATAAGCCTATGCGTCTCCGAGGGGGGGCTCGGGCGCTAATATGCGAACTCTGGGGGATAGGCCGACCTCCCAGTTTTAACCAGGCTTATCGTGACAAGCGGGCTATGTCATGATGGACAAACCCCTTCCCGCCTACTCGTGGGACCAAAACATGAATATTACTTTACCAAACAAAAACCAAAGCGTAGAACGGAACTCCCTAAAAAAGACCGGAAATGGGGTCAATGTCCCGTCAAACTCCAAGGCCCTCAAAAGCCAAGGAGTTGCTGAGATGGAGAAGCCCTCCACAGAGGGGCAAAATCTGGAGGCGGGACGCGCCGGTGCGGAGGAGGTTGCCAAGGCAACTTCTTCCAAAGCGGGGCTAGCTATGGGACCACCGAACGGTGTGGAGAGGAAGACCCCAGGGTCAACCTCTAAACCAACCGGCGGTGCCCCTAAGGCGAACCCTGGTCCGGAAGCGCCTCACTCGAAGCAGCGTAAAGGCTCCTACAAGGACAGAAGAAGAGCAGCCTTCATTGTGATGAGGGCGGACCCATCGGCCGAAGCCAACCCGGACCAGGCCGAGATTTTTAAGTGGGCAAGGGAGATCCTACCCGACTTTAATCCGGAAAAGGCGGGAGAAAGGCTGGATCCGAAGAGACGTACTGGGTCAGACCCTGCCAAGGAGGCCGCGCAAAGCGCGAAAAGGCAGAGGTCCACAGAGGGAGAAGCCCCCCAGGCCAAGAAGAGGAAGGCCCAGCCGCAGCCGTCCAACCGCTTGTTTGCCGAAGTAACGAAGGGAAGAACTTAATTGGAGTCCTGGACAAGGGCTCCAAGGATGGGATCATCCCCAAGGAACTTTGGCGACGAGTGGTAAACGAGTTGCATGGGCGCTTCGTGGAGGAGATGCTGCGAAGCGGAGGACCCCCACCAGAATGCGAAGACACAGGATGGTATCAGGGTAGCGTCAAGTTGATTGCTTGCCAAGACGCGCGATCGGTGGAGACCTACAAGCGGATGGTTGCGTCGCTTGGAGAGGTCTACCCTGGAGCTAAGCTGGTGGCGGTTGACTGGGACGAGATCCCCAGCAAACCGAGGGCGCGAGTGTGGCTCACAGAAAAGCCAGCCGACCCGAAAACCATTCTAACAATGCTTAGGATGTGCAACTCGACGCTCCCCATGGCGGACTGGAGAGTCGCCAAGGTCGAGGAGGCGGTGGGACTGCGGAGGCAGGTCGTCCTCACACTAAACGAGGAGACCGTTAAAGCCCTGGAGAGGACGGAGCACCGGCTGAAGTACGGATTCGAACACGTTTCGGTCCGTATCTATAAATCCGATGCGAAGGCCAAGCCAGGAGGTATCGGTCTGGAGGCAGACACACGAGAGCCAGACTTGGAGGAGCCGACCGAAGAGGGGCACCCGGAAGGAATGTCGGATGAGGAGGAGGACATCCTGGAAGGGTACACCTCGGAGGAAAGCGACTTGGCAAGGGCACTTGGCGGAGTCGGAATGGAGGAGGACTCTCTGCTGAGCTCCGAGACGGAGGCAGAAATAACTGTGGTGGAGATTTGTAAGGATGTCCCTGACGATCTTACAAATAAATCTCCACCACAGTAAAGCGGCGTCAGCTGCCCTCCTACTCCACCTCGCCGAGAGTGGAGCTGATGTGGCCCTCATCCAGGAACCCTGGATCCTAGAAGACAGGATTCTTGGGTTGGGGGCGTCGGAGTTCAGGCTCTGCAAAGCCGATACTACAGGTAAAAGGCGAGCCTGCATCCTCGCAAAATAGAACTTTAACCTCTTTTTGCTACCCAATTTTAGCAATGAAGACCACGTAGCCGCAGCCGTAGAGAGCCCCAATGGCCCTCTAAGGATATGTTCGGCGTATATGGGCCACGACCAGGAGACCCTTCCACCGCACCCGCTAATCAAACAGCTGGTGGAAGACAGCAGGAAGCACAACATCGACCTGATCATAGGTTGCGATGCTAACGCCCATCATCATCAGTGGGGTAGCACTGACACGAACGAGAGG